CGATCAATCTCCTGATGGTGTTTCTCTAATCATTTCGCCGCAGTTTGTTTCCTGGGAAATTATTCCCTGTAAAAGACGTAATAGTAATGCTAAGGATATTTCTAGAAAGTAATAGTGTTGCTATGGATATTTCTAGGAAGTAATAGTGTTGCTAAGAATATTTCTAGGAGGTCCAACAGCTTATCAATTATTAAAACACCGTAGTTTCGGATTCCCAGAAACTGACTAGTTTCTGTAACATTGAAATTTAAGTTCCTTGCCGTAAAATCCAACTTGGAGCAGTTATACACACCAGAAATCATTTGCATTGCTGTGAACTCGAAGCGCGAAAACCATAGCGCCGACGCCAACACGGAATTCGGATTTGTTCGCAGTCATGGTAAACGGATTCATTCTTTTCGGTCGCCCTGTTGTATTTGCAATACTGGCACTATTTCAAGGCGGTGTGTTGATAAATTTTCTTGTTAAGCACCACAGCATCAAAAATTGGTTCTTCCTTGCTGTACCGTTTCCCGCTTTTATAGCGTGGATCTGGCACGTAAACGACATAGCGGGACGTTTTCGCTGGATGTTTGTAGTCTGGCTGTTTCATGTTGGTATAGGATTGGTACCCTTCGTTGGAACCATATTTGCGCTCATCAAGAACAAGCTCATTGCAGGAGAACCATACGGTGCTGATAGTCTGAAATTGATCCTATGCGTTTCACCGCTTCTTCTGCTGATTTTATTAAACGACCCAAGCGTGGAAACAGACTCAAGTGATTATCGCGTGTTGATAACCGATCTTTCTTACAAGATGATCATCGATTTCTTCGATGGAGTGGACATGCTGAGTATCATTCTACAAGAAAACGAAGGCAATCATGGCATTCCAACGAGCTACGAAAGCGCTATAGTTGCTTTGGTGTGTATTAGCTTTCTGCTTTCTCCTATGGCTCTATTTGGACACAAGGTAGATGAAAATGATCTTATTAGAAGCAGCAATGCAGTTGTAGCCGTCCGCATCGTCTTTCAAGTTTGTTTTAATACTCTGTTTCTCGCGCTTCGCGTGGTAATACACCTCAAGTACGGTGTAAATCTTTCTGTATTCACTGCCAAGAATGTGATTATGATTTTAATCGCACTTTTCAAGGTAATCTCCTTCTTAGAATGTTGCGAAAAAGAACATGAAATTGAAGTATAAATACTGACTTCCGCACTAAACTGGCGCTGAATTAACAGCAGTTTCAAAGCTATACAACAGTGTATCTTATAAATATTTCATGATTTTTTTTCCCAAACTTTCTCTTTTGACAAGTTCAATAAGTTTTCATATGTAACAAGATCAGGGTTAGATTGAAACTTCTCTTTCTTATTGATAATTCATCAAGTTAAAACAAAGAAAATCACAACCGTGAAGGAGGTTTGGATACCCGGTCTTTTAAATTAGCATAGATTTTGACGATTTTACTTCTCCGTTTACTCCTTAGTTTTTGTTTCGATTGAGAAGAAATATCAAACATTCGAGAAAATGTTTCATCAGCTATCCAAACACCTCGAATTTCGTCAAAATACTCCGCTGCGGGACGTATTTTCAACTCTCTTCTTGGTGTTTGGATGTCCCGATGAAACACTGTCTCCCGTGTTTTTGATATATTACAGTCGAACCTCGATTATCCGGATTTTTTGATTATCCGGACTTTTTCTCTAGTCCCAATTTTGTCATTAATATTTATAAGTCATGATCAAGATCCCTAGCAATGTTCTTTTTAAAACTATGGCGTTGAAAAGTGCAGTCAAAAGCGAGTTTATTTTGCTTTTAAAGAGCAAAAGCAGCGCTCGCACGCGTCGTAACTAATGAAGAACACTTGAATGAGCTCTGATTGGCTCAGAGTTAAGTGATTCAAGATGTACAGTAGACCATATTGTTTTCCAAACGATTTGTAAAAGTGTTGTTTCACAATTAAATGTTGCTTTATTTAAACAGTTTTGTTCTTCACTAATATTCATATTTTCGATTATCCTGACCCTCGATTATCCGGACTATTTCGTCTAGTCCCAACGAGTCCGTCGAGGTTCGACTGTGCTGCAAAACATTAGTAGAACGAGAAAGCAGTTCTTAAATAGAATTTCAGCAAGACTGCGTTGCTTGTACGATAAGATACACTCCTGCTATGATATTTTAGAATCAGCGACTTTAATATTTACACGAGGTAAATAAATAAGTTTCCTCTGGCATCTTCTGTGAATTTCATGTGTTGTTATGGACGGAAGTGCAAGTCAAATATGCGACTTTTGCCAATAAATACACAACTTTAAGTAAAGTGTAGGAAATCATCATGAAAGTTTTGCGTAAGAACACAATCTGCTACCAATGTAGGTCTGCTAGTTTTCTAACAAATAATCAAAATCTTCTAATTATAACAAAATATGCTGTGTCCCGCGTCATTGAAATTTCGGCTCAGTTCACAATCTCTATCCCAGATTCTCTTCTTTTTCCACGGACCTCCTTTCTCACTAGAGACTGCATTGAATATTAAAAAAAACAAAATGCCCTAACCAACAACAGGTTTGTAACAAATGAAAACTTTAGAGCATTTTGCGCCTCTAAGCGTCGCCAGGCTGGACAATGGTTGTGTTATTCTGAGCGAAATGTCTTGTTCTTGACGTATAGAGTATTAGGAGAAGTCGAAGCAACCTTATTACTGTCTTTTATTTTGTTAGCTAGGAACAAAGAGACCTCAGTTGGACAGTCGCAGTCCACGCCTCCCGACACACCCCGGCCCCATGCCACGCCTCCACTTCAAACGCTCGGAAGAACTGGTAACTAATAAAGATGGCTGCCTCTAAAAGTGGTTTCGTACCAGGAGCGACGAACAAATTCGCTCTTGATCTCCATAAATCCCTGGCAAATGACGATAAGTTTGCCAATGAGAACCTTTTCTATTCTCCCGCAAGCCTTCTCATTGCTCTTGCGATGACATGTCATGGAGCGAGGGGAAGCACTGCTGCAGAGATAATGAAAGTACTCCATGTTGCTTCGGTTTCTTCACCTGACCTCGACAAGAGCATG